AAAAAAAAAAAAAAAGGAGAGACAAATGTCCATACATAAAAAGTTAATACATTTTACACGCACATACCCGTCATGCATTTATAATCCCTCCGCCTTCCATCCGTACTAATTCTGCTAAAATACTATTTCTACTGCAATGAACATTATTGTGTGGCTGTTGTTGCTACCCCCCTCAACTCTTCCCTTGTTGTTGTTTTCTACCCCTCCCTACACCCTTCCCCCCCTCTCTCTCTCTCAGTAGGTATTCTCTTTTTTTTTTTTTCTTCTTCTTCTTTTACTTCTTTTCTCCCCTTCTTTATTTCTTTCCTTTTGGTTTTGTTTCTTTTTGTTTGTTTGTTTGTTTTTTGTTTTTTGTTTTTTGTTGTTGTTTTGAAGTTTATTTTTATTATCCTCATATAAAAATAATAAATGCGTGAAATGCGTGTCTCTGTGTGTGTGATGTACTTTTCTTCCCTGCTGGTTTGTCCAAAAGTGCCTCCATCTTACGCGCGGAACAGACACACAACACAAAGGCAAGCGCAGTTCACGTATTTAAGAATAAATGTGCAATTGTGCCGGGGAGGGAAGGGAAAAAAATATGTATTTAATGGGTGTAATTGTAACTGCATAAGTACCCATGCATGCATGCACACACAAACACACACAACGTCATGTACACGTGTGTGAAGCTCTTATCAACGGCCGTCACAGGCAGCACCGTTGTTCCTTCTGGTGAATGCATTTCCCTCCTCCCCTCCACCCCTCCTCCCCTAACCCTAACCCTCTCGAGTATTCCTCTCACATCTCATCTTCTGTTCTGTTTTGTTTTGTTTGATTTTCCCCCTACCCCTCTCAGTTGACATCCCCTCCTCCTCCTTTCCCCTCACTTCCTTCCCTTCTTTGTTTCTTTCCTTTTCTTTTCTTTTTTTTTTTTTTTTGCATGTTGGAATATGTCCCCCCCCCCCGCAGGCCCCCGCTGTTTGCACCGCACATTCGCCTCCGCCCCACGCGAGTTGTTTCGATTCTCTCTCTCCCTCCACACACACGCACCGTCCCTCAGCACGCATCTCACGCTTTTTTTGTTGTGTTGGTGGCTTCTTGTCTGCTCCTCCTTCTCACACCAACTCTTTTTTTCTCTTTTTGTTTAGGGGGGGGGGGGGGAAGGAGGAAGAGGGTTTTCTTTTTTTTTTCTTGTTTTTGTTTTTGCTTTTATTTTTGTTCAGTTGTTGTAGTTTTTTTGTTTTGTTTTGTTTTTTGTTTTGTTTTTTTTTTTTGTTTTTCTCCTGTTCGTTTGTTGGTTTTATTCCGTCGGCGCTCCAAGTGCGTCGTAACGCTGACGGTCGTCGTCCTCTCAGCCCCCTGCCGGGCCCCGCTCCATCCCAATCATCGAGTCCCCGTAGAGACCGTGAATGTCCTGCGGCGGGTCGTCATCGATGTGATCGTACCACTTCTCCCACAGAAGTTGAATGGTGCACTCCACCGTGTTGTCCTCGAGCAGGTGTTGTGGGACCACCGTCCCCTTGTCGCTGACTTTGTACGCATTAATTAGGTATAGCGCCTGAAGCGTAAATGTCATCACCATGCGGAGATGCACAGCCAAGTCTGGTATGTCGCGGAACTTTTCCTGGAGGTATTCCAACCGCTCTTGCCGTGTTGTGAGGTTCACCTGGTAGTCGGATGGGAAGACAAGCACGTAGTGCAGCAAGAGTCCACCAATCGCCGACGGTATCTCTCCAAATGGCAAGAGGAATGCAAACGAGGAGAAATCCACCAAACTACAGCTGCTGTTCCCTGCAAGGAAGACGGTTGTGGCAATAACCTCTACAAGCTCTCGAAGGCAGCGACACATGGCTCGAACCATCACCGTAAACGCGCAAAGATGTCGG